CTTGGCAACTTCCTGCCACTGAATAACATTTTCCTTTGACAGAGCTGGGCGCTCATCGCTGCCTAGTGCCCACCCGTCTTGGGGGCGTGCTTATGTGAAACACAGAGAGAATGCCCTCAGGTAACCACATGTACAAAGCTTCTTCCTTAGGGTTTCAAATTCCCTAACATAACTCCACCCACTCTGTCATCATGTGACCAGAAGTCTAACCGTAATGACCAATGAGGTACTCTCGAGGACCATCCCCCAAGATAGACGTGCATTAATTCCTTCAGATCGTTACCGTATTTTGCGCTTCATGCACAGACCGTGTTCATCTGCAGTAGGAATGTACGATATGGCATAAAATTCATATCACGATATGTATTGTGAAGAGTGGCGATAACGATATATATCGCGATATGTTTTGGGTATAAAACTTAATAGGAATTTTTTTTAAAGCATAGATTGTCCTTTTGCCATCATATATTTTGAATTAAAAAAAATTCCACTACTAGGTCCAGAGAGTTTTAAAATAATAAACAAATCAAATATTAGGCTTCTTTTTTGTAGTGCAAAACTGCGCAAAATATATAAAATGTAGTTTTAGCCATTTGTTTTAATCAAAAGAATATGTTGTTAGTTAACTGTTGACAGTTAACAGTTTCCAGTCTTACTTAAGAAATGAACAGCAACAGAGCAGCATTTTACACTGACGCACTTCACCCTCCAAACCTCTAGAGGGCGACTCCTTCTGCTTTAATGGAGAGCTGACACAAAATAGGTCTGTGGCTTTGACCAGAGGGTCTCGCAGTAAAATCACACAACACAGCGTTCTTTTCACAGATCAGAGAGCAGGTTTCTCTAAAGCTGACCAACGCTTACTTTAACTTTCTACGAGAAAAAAAACAAACTTTTGACGGAACACAGCGTTTTGTCCATTTAAAAACAGCAGCCGTTACCAAAAATGTTTAACAATAAAAATCAATGGTACTAATTTAATGAACATTTGCTGTATTTTACCGGTACCATCTATGCGACTCCTGGTCACATGACCTCGATAAGACTACTGGGTAAAATTGACCAGTATATAATTTTTTTATAATTTCAGTTACGTAAGTGTTTGGCACTGTTCTGTCCAGTGACTATGTTTAGATAGTTATTCTGTTCATTTTGTAGGTTGAATGGTTTTAACCGTGAGTCAGACCGCAAATCATCATGAAGACTTATGACGATCATCAATGGTTCAAAGCAAGCCATAGTCTGCGAAACGCCATCCAGTGACCGACTCTTGGAGAACAACAAGAAAGAGCTGCACATTATGCCGGTGCTGGACACAGATTCTAGAAATGAACGGTGGATGCCCACAGCTTAATAACCGAAGCATCTTATTTATGTACAAAATTATAATTTATCTTAAATTTAGTATGCGCGGCTTAGACAGGTGCATTCTGTAGCCCGAGAATCACAGTAATCTATATCTACAGCAGAGATGGCAGAAATTATATTAAAATTAATATTAGGATAATTATAAGATGAAGCACATCTTTTATCGGGCAAAAACCAACATGCGATAAAATTGCCTAGAAGATACTTCACAAATTCAAAAGATAAGATGTAGAGTGAAAACAACAAGATCGAGCACCTTGACTCCGTGGCCCATGTCGTCCAGCAGGCTGTAGTCGACAGGTTTGCGGATGTAGCGCACGGGTCTCTCGGGGTTGGCCGGTGCGATGATCTTGTGAGTGCGGGAGGTGTTCTTGTTGGTGGTGAGGATGCCGATCTCTCGTCGAGCTACTTTCTCTTTATGGATGTCCACTGTCTGAGGATGTGAAGCAGAAACATTTAACTTCCACCAGCTGTAAACTGGAATTTTAACACGTTGTTCCCCAACAGTCAACATCAGTTAAGTAGTCCTCAAGAGAAAATGGTATAAAAAGGTAGATTTCAGTGTTGCCCCTACCATTATCCAATGTGGGCGCCATGCCCTGCCAACAGAACAGAGCGCCCCATCAAAGAATGGTTCTGTGCATTTAACCCATCACACGTGAGATACACCCAGGTGGAGCAGTGGGCAGCTATGCAAGCACCCGGGGAGCAATTAGAGATCATGCATCTTGCTCAGAGACACCACGACATGCGGGGATGGTGGGGAGTCAAACCGCCACTTTCTGGTCCTAAGTCAGCTGCCCCACCTTCTACCCCATCTCGGCGCTTATATGTTGTATGTTTTATATGTTGTCCGTCTAAAGCAGGTCTCTCTTGTAAATAAGTCCTCATGACTCAATGAGAATAACGTGTATAAATAAAGGCTGAATGCCTGCACCCCTCCGCCCCCCGACAGACAGCTCCGCAACTTCCGGACGGGAAGTGGAGATTGTATCACCTCACCTAGCATTAGTACCATCTATACTAGGGGTGCACCGATTGCAGTTTTCTGGCCGATCACAGATTTCTAAAAAGACTGACCTGCCGATACCAATTTTGTTTTATAAGCGACACTGTCAGGTGTTATAAGGTCACAATGCACCTTCAATTTTCCAACATTATTTTATTGAAAAACATGCCCTTGAACAATATCCTATAAACAATACAAACTTGTTTTAACTGGTCATTAGGTAGTGCTCTGAAGTATTAATGAAGTTTAGACAATTGTTAAAAAAAAACTAAAAAAAACTGGTTTCTCGTGCAAGTATTGGCCAATTTCCGATTTCCTAAAATTAAGGAAATCAGGGCCCGATTTATCGGTGCACCCCTAATCTATTCAGTCTATAGCAGGGGTGTCAAACTCCAGGCCTCGAGGGACGGAGTCCTGCAACTTTTAGATGCGTCTCTGATACCACACAGCTGAATCATATGATTGAATTAGCTTCTCAGTGCAGTCAAGTTCTCCAAAGTCCTGCTAATGACCTCCATATTTGATTTAGCTGTGTGGCATCAGAGACACTTCTAAACATTGCAGGACTCCAGCCCTCGAGGCCTGGAGTTTGACACCCCTGGTCTATAGGTATAGACAGATGGTGCACCCAAAGGAAGGTGAACCCACATAGCTCATTTGGGCTGACCTCCATACATGGTTGGAAGCCAGGTCACAAGGCGCTCGCTGACATGCACCTCCCCCAACCCTGGCTCCAGGGTGGGGTTCCAATAGCCCTGGCATGGAATATCAAGCACCTCACTGTCTTCTCTCCATACAGGCATAGTGAATCTGTCTTTGTATGGCCCGTTTTGTAGAACCATTCTGCACTGGGAGACCCTAACAGGGTCAATTGCCCGCAACAGAACACCTCCTATGATCATTTAGGCACATAAACTCCTTCACCACAATAAGGTGGTGAATCACAAAAAGATATTTATTTATACATCTATCTACATCCATTTACATCTCACCACAGATTTCAAAACAACTTCAAAATTCCAAAAGCTTGTGATTTGAAACATGTTTAGAGTGTCTTACTTGTTGGTGAACTGAAGCTATACATCACACTTAAAGTCATGGAGATAAATGGAGTGATAATTTTACCAAAGTGATGAGGCAGATTTTGGGAGGGGCTTGTTACACCCCCACCTATTGAGGGCATAAAATATTCTGGGTTTTGATTGTTGGGCCTGTTAATTACTGGTGAAGCTTGGATTCTGACAACAACTGATGCTTTGGAACATCACTTGTTTTTACATTTCAGACTGTCTTTAAATCGATAATTTTTGCAGAAACACGACGTGGCATATTTAAAGAGACCACACCCACCTGTGAGATATGGTTGATGGAAGACTCCATGCGGCGAAGCTGAGACGCCTGGATGTCGAGCATCTGCAGCACATTGTTGGCCAACGTGTTGATAAGGTACGCCACGCTGGCCAAAGACTGAGTGGTGTAGTTCTTGGTCTCCTCCAGCGCCCTCTGCTTGTCTGGAGACTGAATGAGACAGGACCAGAAAGGAATCAGTTCAGAAAAAAGGATAAAAAATAAAAAATCCTGCAAAATACTGTTTTTAATCTATTGAGAAGTCTACAAGGGAAGAAGCTCACATATGCACAATTGAAACAACACATTAATATAAGAACGACTCAAAAGACAAACACCATTTACAACCTAAAGAACAATTATTGTAATTTTCACTGTATAAGTCGCAGTTTGTTGCATAAATTAGCATGACCGCGACTTATACAGCAACACAACATATTTATTTTTCCCATATTTCTAACTGAAATTTTGGCCGAGATTTGACGATTTAATTCATTCTGACATGGAAAATATTTAGCACTACCATTTTCAGCCACTAATATGGCGAGCCATGTGTCTCATTAATAGGGAAAAGTGGCTATTAATGAGACACTTGGCTTGCCATACCAAGCCACCATCGTCTCGCTCCCAAACTCCTGGAGCAAACGTCAAATCAGCTGCATTTCACTGCACCGCCCAGGCGACATGCAGCTGATTTGACCATTAAAGTGAATTTATTAAGTAAAAGTTCAACTGAGAAAAGCTTTACTATGTCGAGCAAACAAACAATTGTTTTTTAAGTGTGAATCTTGTTAAATTTTTGTTAAAGTCCTCAAGTTCTTGTTAAAGCACTCTCCCACGGCCGCCATTTGGTAGCTAATCGATTTTTGGCACAACACCGGCCCATGTTTCTGGGTTGTAAGCGGTGACGCATAATGAATGCGACTTATATGACGAAGTGACGTATTTACATTCTTTTTCCACTTTGTTTGACATTTCTGGACTGATGTGACTTATGTGGCGGTGTGACGTGTACGGCGGCAAGTACGGTATTCAGAGCCAATTATCCTGTTGAAATACAAACTTTTTAGCACTTTTGTCAGCGCCTGTGAGTAACAAGTAGCAATCCCATACTTCTACATTCTGGGACCAAAGGTTATTTTCCAAGATTGGGTTTTATCAGAGACCACTGTCAGAATATGGAATTGGAGAGGATAGAATGGTCTACCTGAAGCCCAGACCTCAACCCCATTAAAACCTGTGGGATCAGCTTGAATATTTGTTTCAGAGTGACCGACACAACCACACTGGCTGGCTTATAACAAGTGTCGTTTCAAGAATAGAACTCCATCCCATGCTGTGCAGCATAAGGAGGAGGTGTCAAGCTGTAGTGGCTGTGTATGGTTCTTCCACATGTTTCCAATGTCAATTTTTGTAAATTATCAACATGTCTTGTTTCTTTGGACTTCAGTCATCCAATCCAACATACACCAAACTGAAAAGATTTGGCAAGTCTTTCTCACCGACAAATCTTTTTACTAAACAAATGCAACACCATTAAAGGTGAAATAAACAGGCTTTTTTAACGGGATCAGATTTATTGCCAAGAAGTATTGGTACAACAGAGAAATAACCAAACAAGTATCCTGACTTTGAGTTTCAGCCAGCTTTTTTTTTTTTTAAATGATTCCTCTCACTTATGCATACACATGCATACCTTCATAAAAAAATGTATTCATTATTATCATTTAATTATTTAAAGATTATATATAAAGTTCTATTAAAAATTGCAAAACAACTAGGGCTGCAAAAACGAATCGATACGCGATTATGCGTCTTTCACGGCGCTGCGGAGCCTATTTGTTCACCTGCAGTTCATTGTCAATGCTGACTGACTGAATATAGTTTGAGAAAAAAAAAAAAACTTTGCAGCGCGAGTTGAACTGAGCGAGGGGGGGAGAAGGAAGCAGAGCAGAGGCGGTGTTTTCAAAGAAATTAAGTAAATTTTACAAATGACCAACGCAGCGAAAACTGTTCGACCCAAGTCCTCCAAAGTGTGGGAGAACTTCACAAAGATAAAAACTGAGAAACATGCAGCTTTGAAAATTGACGACACGACACAGGAGAACCACGCTGATAAACGTAAACATGTCGGAGTCACGAGGAGGAAGAAGGAGCTGCAGCAGATACAACTCGTTTCACTCCCATCTCGTGTTGCAGGTGAGTCTCTACAATTTAACATTTGTTCTGTTTCAAGAGAGAAAACGTAACGTCAGTCTCTCTGTAGATGAAGCTGCTGCTTGTTTGTTTGCTGATTAATGACGGTGATAGAGAACGTGTGTTACTTTTTATTTAATTTAATTGGTACAAGCAGTGTTTAAATGTGATTTATAAATAAATCTAACACAAAGATAATAATTTAATGATTAAGCTTCAACTTTTAATATGCTGACAAAGTCTGAAGACACTGCAGGTATGGCAGGATGAATTACATTTAAACAGGAATTAAAGTATCCTGATGCATGCTCAATAATCCAGGCAGAAAAATCTAAAAAAGTTAAATCTGGTCCTCTGGACATTCAAAAAACAAAACAAAGCAAATCAACAAAAAATGTAGAAACGTTTCGTCTCTCATCCGAGAGACTTCCTCAGTCTGAGGAGCTGTTTTCAGCTCAGTCTCTTAAATAGCACCTTCTCAGAGTGGATCAACCAGTTTTGCTGCTGACAACCAAAACCAGCTGATCACATGCTCAAGAAGGACCATCAGCCTAACAATGGATCATTAGCACACTGATGGCTGTTTACTGTTCACAGAGGGCCCTCTGAATACAGCTCCTCAGACTGAGGAAGTCTCTCGGATGAGAGATGAAACGTTTCTACATTTTTTGTTGATTTGCTTTTTTTTTTTTTTTTTTTTAATGTCCAGAGGACCAGATTTAACTTTTTTAGAGGAATTAAAGTAATTTATTACATCTACTCAAATGTGTGTAATTAAGTATTTTATGTGTGTGAGTGTTTAATTGCTCTTTTAGCTACTTTTGCCTGAACCTAACGCTGTAAGTGAAACAAGGCATGTCTTGAGTTGCTGTAAATTATGCTAATACATATTTACTCTCTCATTCCAGAAAACAACAAACAACAACATCCTTCATGATGGACAGACATCATGGACACCACAGCAGCAGCTGTCTTCACTGAAACATCCTTGAATGATCGTCACTGACACAAGGCCTCTGTTGATGGTTGAAGACGAAGGCTTCACTACAATGATCCACACTTTTAATCCAGGTTACAATAATCCACACTTTTAATCCAGGTTACAATGATCCACACTTTTAATCCAGGTTACACTCTTCCCTCAAGGACACATTTTACAAAGTAGCTACATATTGTGCAGGTATAAAGACACATTTGTATATATTTTTGTGTACATTTATTTTTTTAAGCTATTTGACTAACTTTTATTTTTTATTATTCAATATTTTACTAACAGAATAGTAAAATAGCAACCTGTTTTTTGTGCGAATTGCCATGTCAGTCAAATGTTCAATTTAGGAATAAAGGGGTCGGAAATTTAAACTTTTTTTTTTTTTTTTTTGCAGATTCATCGAAAAAATAATTGGCCGATGAATCAATTATTGAAATAATTGTTAGTTGCAGCCCTAAAACAACCGTTTTTATTGACAGGAAGACTAATCTGATTTAAATTCCTCCACAAATGAGCTCTTAAGAATTAGGGATGCACGATCCACTTTTTTTTTTACTTCCGATCCGATCCCGATACCTGAAATTGAGTATCTGCCGATACCGATCCAGTTCCGATATCATGGTCATCATTGATTTTATACGAGGCAGTAATAATCTCCTGTCAAGTACAATTTGTACAAATATATGCATGCATGTCCAAAAAGGCAACTTGAGGTAAGTTTTATTAATGTTGGATGTTTTAAAGTTAGAATTAAATTCTGCTAACACAAAACATGTTTCTTTTTGTTCCTAGCTTTAAAGTGGATATTAAAGTGATTAATTTAAGTGATTGTTTAAAGTTGTTTTATATTTTATAAGGGGCAGATATAAGAATTATTTTTTTCTTCCTGCACTCTTTTCATTCAATGTTTTCTTTTTGATGATTTTTTATTTATTTATTTTGTTTCATTTAAATGAATGAATAAATGAATTAAATTAAATAAAATGTTAAATGGCTTTAAACATCTGCTAAGTTCATGGCATAAACCAACAGACATGTTCCTGTTTTTAGTATTTTACATCACTTTATAATGTAGCTGTTTTTGTTTTTAATATAATTTTCAAATCATTTTTTTATGATTGTTTACTGTTGTACTGATAAATATCTCCTGGTGGGTAAACTATATCTTGGCTGCAAGTATCAAACTGTGAAATCCTTCGTTTTCTACAACTGATAGTGGTTGGTCATTAATTATGATGAAGTTTAGCAACTTCTCTGTAAACATTTGAGCTCCGTGGTTTCAGCGATGTCTTCTTGTTCAATCCGAAGCAGGCAGTCTGATTTGGGTCAGCCGCGCTCAGTCTGTCCCTCCTCAGAGACGGGCAGACTGAGCGGGGCAGATTGGACGCGGCTGACCGGGGTCGAGTTGGCCGCCCCGGGTTGAGCAAAGAGCAGCACCACGCTGAAGCCACGGAGCTCGAATGTCCATCGTAAAACTAACTTTACTGCGGTTTAATGTGGAGCTATGGCTCTGCAGACATTGCACGTTGCCGTCTTGTTTTGTGGTGTTTCTAGTGTAAAATATTTCTACACAGCGGACATGTTTAGATAAAAAGTTTGTTAGCTGTTAGCCACAGTGCTGCTAACTCAGCCCTCACGTTGTAGCTGGCTGCAAACTATGAACTGGATTTCCTGAATGTGAGGCGGGTCTTATTACTCTGGGCTCATGAGACACGCCGCCGTTCAGGAAATCCATTCCATAGTTTGAAGCCAACATGCATCATGGATCGGAAATATCAGCAGGTGGGTCGGAAAATCCGATACGTAAATTATGCTGGTATCGGAGGCCGATACCGATACTGGATCGGATCGGCCTCATCCCTATTAAGAATGGCTATAATGGTTTATAAAGGAGACTTGCATTACTTTTATTTGTACAAAAATGTCTGTACAGTAAGCTGGAGAACTTTATTTCTGCATTTCCAGAGAAGACCCTAAAACTTAT